TATCACCTGCTGCCAACACAAAGGATCTAGGGACTGCACAGATATGGATACACACACACACACACACACAAACACACACACACACACACACGGGTATGTTTTTGCAAAAGAAAGAAAAGCTTCCTAAAAGCAAAAATCAGCCAACTCAGGAAATAAATAAATAAATAAATGGAATTTATTGGATGCCAAACAAAATAAATTGGGCTTACTATTGAAAAATAAGAATGTTCAGGAAAATATTTTTAATTAGTTACCAAGTCCAGCTCTCATTCCAAGTCACCCTCCTCGAATGTCCCAGAGATCATGTTTCAGATTCTTGAAATGACCCACATCCACCATGTCTAACTCCACATACTGTGCCAGTGGCTTCCCACGCTGCCTTTTAAAAGAACTAATGCTATCACTGTCATCTGACTTAGATATTTATTTCATACTTGCCAGAATACTCTGGCCAATGTTTTTGAAAGTGCATTTAACTATACCATATGCCTCCTTAAGTCATCTCCTTTGAGCAAGCTGTACATTGAGGCTCTCGCTCTGTTCCGTTCTGTTTTTCTTTCCTCGCAGTGTGCTTCTGTATGTTTAACCAATTTTTTCTGTTCTTTTTTTTGTCAAATTGCAGGTTTGAGGTCTCAAAAACCCAAAGCAGCTGTATTATTGTCACTGTCTCACAGAACAAGGGTCAGAGAACTAGCTCTGTATTGCAGGCAAGTGTGCTGACCGCATAGCATACCTGCAGTCTGCTACACTGGAACCGAGATCAATCAAAGAACTCTAAGGAGGCCATCCTATTTAAACTCAAAGAAGGCATCTCGCTATAAATGAGCAACTCACTCGAATAAACTAAGTAACCCACCAAAATTTTTGCTGAGACAATGTTCATAAGAATATGAAGTTTCAAAAGGAAAGCATGTCCAAAGGGAAAGCCAGCTACGTCCACTCTTACTTTCTTTCTCCTGTTCTAAGAATTTGTTCATCTTAGGCAAAAATCTATATGAAGTAAATTTAGTAAACACTGATCTCTTTCAAAGAAAGTTGTTCAAAGTCCCGCTCTATGTCTGCTTAGTAGGGTTATTCCTAGATAGGACCTGCACAGGTATTTTTAATTTCTTTGTTCTGAAACTTGTTTATTAATTGGCTATTTGACGGTTTCACATTTACATATAATGCATTCTGATGCATCCCACGTTATCCCCCTACACACCTCAACTCTACAAATCCTTTTCTTACATTCAAATCTTTCTAACTTTTGTTACTGCATAACATCAGTATTTGAATGTAAGACGTTTCAGCTATTCTAATGCAAGTGCTTAGTCCCACCTCCTAGGAAACATCCCCCTTGCCCCTCATTTAAATCAAAATGCACTATCATATTAAAAAAAAATAAAAAGAAACACAAAGATGAGAGAGGAACTAATAGAGCAGACTAATGAGCAGAGGCACGTGTCTGTGGGCCAGCTCTGAGACTGTGCATCTGTCTGACTAGGACTACTTCACTGGTGCATTGTTAATTATTTAGGTGAGAGAACAGGGGGACCCATCACCACATCTGTCACCTTCACACAGTGAAGCCTTCCTCCACTGATGGGCCAGATGTGTTTATTTGAAACACAGACTAACTAGCTATTTAATGGGTTTGAATCCTTAGCCAAAAGGTAATTAGGCAAACATATCAAGCATCAGTCGCCTTACAAGGCTACACTGTTTCAGTTCTGTTGGTTTTCATTCAATCTCAGAAGAGCCAATCACCTACAAAAAGTATCCAAAGAGAAGTCAAGGGAAAGGAAACAGTCTAAATTATATGCAACATACTAAGTAGTGCCAATAATGATGCTCCCAGGCACCCAGGATTGTCACAATAGTCCCTAAAAGTTTGCCTCTGTGGTTAACTAGAAACTGATACCAAAATAAAATGAAATAGTACAAAAGCAATTCTTTAAATGGATCTCCAACCCCAAACATTCTGTAAAATATTAATATCAAAGCTAAATACATGATGGTTTTTCATACCCAATATTTATCATACTGTGTACAACTTTTTAAAAACACATGTATCTGAGACATTTATCTATATGCAGAGTATTAAAGAATGTCACTAGTTGCTATGGTATACTATTGAAAAGGAAAGAGGGGAATACTAGGCCTGGGAGACAGCAGATAAATGAGCTTGCTGCACATTGGATCCCTAAGATCCACATGAACCAAGGAACCCTGTAAGCTGTTCTGTGACTTCCCTATATACCATGGCAGGTGCAAACGACATGCCCGCAAGGCATGCCCACACAAATAGAGGTTAGCAAAAGCAAAAGTAATTGTTTTAAGTTTAACTGATGCCTGTCATACTTTATATGTACTGATAAATTTGCCTGTCATTTCATGATTACATGAGAGAAAAAATTAAATTGGACTCTTTAGTCATTCACTTAAGTTTCATTAATTTCTGACCTTGTCATTGGTATGTGGCCCTAAATAAAATTCTGACCGTTTTCCCCAGACCTGCCCTCCCATCAAAAATCAAATTATGTCTTTTAAGTTTTTATATGTGTTGGTAAACAAAACTATTTAAGAAAATCACCTTTCAACCATCAAATGCTTAGTGAATTTCCATTGTGGTGGGTGGACACTGCGTAAATGCAAGGGCATCTACAAGAAACAAGACTTGAGGGATTCATTTTAGCAAAAAGGAGCAACAATAAACAGCAAAGGTCTGGGAGAAAAATCAAAACGTGAAGGGAATAAGGAGGTCACTTGATCAGAAAGAGTACCTAGGCAGGGTTTTCATTTATTGGACGGTGACATTTGAACAAGTCTTAGGGTGATCAGAAAAACATCATTCCAAGCAGTGGGACCAGTATGTAGGACAGGACTGATGGGCATGTAAGCCAGAGGGTTAGGAGACAGGAAGAAGGGTAGTGTGGCCATAGCTGAGCCGAAAAGCAATGAGGAGATGACATCAGAGGAAGTAAGGGGTTGGTTACTGTAGAACCTTAGGGAAATACTGCCAACTCTCCTTTACCTTCCTGTGGGATGAGGAACATATTCCCAGTAAGTCCATGCTTGATTTTATTTGCATGACCAGAAGTGTGCAATAACTTCTGAATATACTGAACATGGACACTTTCATGAAAGCCAAGTACTCATACTGATTGCAAAATACAAAAATGCAAAATACAAATCTCTTTGATTCCATGGAGGAAAATATATAATCTCCATTGTGTGATGGTGATTTTGATTTGAGATGACAGCTTTTTGGTATTTAATAGTTTTAGTCTCTGTGAAAAGATCAGCATTAAGTATTTCCAACATTTGGGTCAGCATTCTGAACTCCTGCAGCCATTGCTATCAAAGTAAAGAACACCTCAATTTTTTATATTTATTTGCTGCATATTAAAGAGTATGTTACTATTAAAATTATTTGTACATTTGTCACCTCACCATAATGGACAAAGCCACCCAGTGGGTTGATGCTCTTGTCAGACAGGTCATAGTCAGTAGATGCATTGTTCTTGATCAGTTTACCATCCTTAATGAGATAGCCTTGACCAATCTTGTAAATCTTTTTGTTAATCTCTGTTCAGTGATGGTAGCCTTTCTGCCCAGCTTGAGCCCTTATTCATGTTAAGTTCTCTACTTTTAGTGAATATTTATAGACCAATAAAATTAAAAATTTAACATGCAAAAGAAAATTATTTGTACATTGATGATTCAAATAAAAGCCCTTATATTGAACTAAAAATTTCTTTTAAGCAGTTTTCATCCTGGTTTACAGTCACACAAAAAAAAATCATGAGTGTAGAATTAACTGAAATGGGAAGTCAATTAAGGTACAAATTAATAAAAATGTATGCTAAGTAATATGTAACATGGGCCACATTGCACTTGTTTTTATCTTTAATATTGATTAAATTTCACAGAAAATATTGAAAACCTTACTTTGGAACTGTGTGTGTGCATGAGTGGGTACATTCAGTACTTGAAAGTACAAAATAATGGGTGTAGCTCTGGTGATCTGCAGGTTTTAATAATAATTCCCAAACTCATCCATGCAATTTTAGATTATATTTAATCAATGCCCATAAAGAAGTTAAAATAAACATTAACATCTTCAACCTACTGAGATTATAGTTTCAGTCTTAATTTATAATTTAATGTTCACTCTGTGCAGTGTGGAAGGGACTGAGGTCCTTGTGCTCACAGATAAGCACTAGAGAAAACAGGAGTGTTTAAAAAGGCTGTTCCTTCCAAGAAGGATGCACAACCTTTTATCCTCCCAGAAGATTTGGAGCTGGCCCGGTTAATAACCTGATATTGTTTTGCACTATCTGTGTGGCTAAGAATATACCAGATTCTCTCAAAGACCCTTATTGTGAGCTTGTCAATCTATACAACATATATTTATGGAAGGTGTCACATACACTTTATAAAGAGTGTCAATGTAGTCATATCTTAAGGTTTTTTGTGCACATGGGACTGAGTTAATTATCACCAGGAAAGTATTCACCAAATTATGCTGTACTTAAATGTGTCTAAAATAGACTACTCAAAGTCAGACTCCTAAAATTTGAACCAGCCAGAGCTACACAGTCCTGTTGAACTGAGCTGACTGCTTGCCTCTCAAGGATCCATATTCTGCTGGCTGTGGTGGCTGCAGAGACCCACACAGTACAGTAAAAGTTATTCATAATAAATTTAACAATCAGCATGGTTTGGTGGGTGTATGCTTTCAATCTCAGCATTGAAAGTTACAGGCAGACCAGGAGTTTTGATTTGTTTTGGTTGTCATTTATTTTTTAATCAGTGCAGAAAGGTTTTTATTAGGAGTGAGGACACACACAGAGAGAGAGAGAAAGAGAGAGAGAGAGAGAGAGAGAGGATGAGGGGAGGGGAGGGGAGGGGAGGGGAGGGGAGGGGAGGGGAGGGGAGAGAAGGGGAGGAGATCCTCTGCAGAACAGAGCAGTCAAACATCAACATAGCTGTTGAGCTGTTTTTGAAGTACTTACTCTCCAGCTCTGTTCAGAACCGGTGCAGGACAAAGTATGGAATTGTGTTGAATGAGTACTGGCTTTTCACCTAAAACGTAAAATGTCATTTGGTTAATAAAGAGTTGTATATCTCTAACTCAGTCTTATTTTTAAAAAATGCCAAGTATCCCACAGAAAAATTCAGTGGGGAATATGAGAATGGTCAACAGTATTTTTTAAAGTCTAGCTAAAGGGGCAAAATAAAGAAGTCTGAGAAATGAAGAGTTATAAAACCTTGATACAAAGATGTGATAAATTAAAAGTAAGTTAGGTTTTTTTTCTTTTTCTTTTTTTTTTTTTTTTTTAGCTAAGTTAATAGTATACATTGTAGATACAACTTTTTCTCTAGAATGTTTCAAATATCTGAGGCTTTAAAGGATAAATTAGATATTGTTTCTAAGAAACAGAATTTAGAATGGATGTAAAATAGAAGACCAGTGCCTAAGTTGACAAGATAGCTATCTCTATACTATATAAGTGCATCCTAACAAGCTGGGTGCTTAAACATCTTTGGAACTTTAACAGTTTTAACAGTATGTGTGAAAATTCATCTAGCAATGGGACACTGAAAAAATTTACATAAGCAAAAGGATCATCCCAGAATGTGAGTAATGAAAATACAATTCTACCCCCATCAATTTGAAAGTTTTCAATAAAGTGAATCTTACCAATGTGTACATTATAATCAACCCAAATATGCAATCAAAGGGAGTTATATAAGTCTAGCACTTACATACAAATAACTACTGAACAGAAATAAAGTTAGTCTTTCCTGCTCAACTGTGCTATATATTTTGAACATGAACCTATATCCAGTAACTGATGGAAGCAGATGCAGTGACCCACAGTCAAGCACTGGGCTGAGCTCCTGGAGTTCAGTTGAAGAGAGGGAGGAGGGTCATGTGAACAAGGGTGTCAAGAGCATGACGGGGAAAACCACAGAGACAGCTGACCAAAACTAGTGGAAGCTCATAGACTATGGACTGACAGCCGGGTAACCTGCATGGAACCAAAACAGGCCCTCCGAATTTGGGTGACAGTTATGTGACTTGATCTGTTGAGGGAAGGGACCCCTGTCAGTAGCACCAGGACCTATCCCAAGAGTATGAGCTGACTTTTGGAGCCCATTCCCTAGAGTGGGATACTTTGCTCAGCCTTGATACAGGGGAAGGGGCTTTCTTAACACCCCAAGGAAGACCTTACCCCCACGGAGGTGTGTATGGAGAGGGGTGGGAAGGGTGGGAGGTAAGAGACCTGAGAAGGGATGGGAGGGAGAACTTGGGTTGGTATGTAAAATGAAAAATAATTTTTTTAATTTAAAATATTTTTGTTTGGTCAATAAAGGAAATATGTGGAATCTAAAATCAACAACAACTAAAAACAAGTATCATTTTGTCCAAACAAATGTATTCCTGATACACAGAAGAAAAAATAATAACCATATTAACCATGCTGAGTTTCTCAACACTTTAATTCAACAAGCACACAACTTGTTGAGTGTGGCCAAATCTATACTAACCAGAGAGTTCAGTACCATCAGAGAAACAGCAAAGTTACAGCTTAATCTTCCTAAAAAAACAGAGCAGTGTTCATGAATTTTAAAGGCCAAAATACACATTGACTAAGAAGAATGTTATACTTGCAGGCCAACACACTCAAGAAACCAAAACCTACTGATGTGATGACTATCATCCACCTAAATTCTGGTGACCACTGAAGGTCTAAAAGCCAAAAGCACAAAACCAAAACCAAACAATAATAAAAGAAATTCAAGAAAATGAAAAGTTACCTGACATGAAGTATAGAGAAGGGATGGCAAAAACAATATTGGTAAGGCAATAGGTAGTGAAGTAGTTCATACAATTACATTTTAAGGCAAGAGATAAAAAATGTAATCCTGAACAGAGGACAATGTGATCACATGACTGATGTAATTAGTTCAAAACCGAGATGCAGGTGCTTTAACTTTCAACTGTGACTGTCATTAGCTGTTTCACCACAGAAGAGTTTTTTTTACTCACCACAAACCATCTTCTGAACATGGAGGTTCCTTAGGACAGGCTCTAGAGTTTTCTAAGTAGTGAACAAATGCTGTCACTACTAAATAATTATTTCTATTTGTATTATTATGGGGGTTTTAGTTTTTCTCTGATGAAAAACTTTGTCATGGAAGATTTTAATTTAAGGAAGAAAGAATCAAGGAAAGAAAGAAAGGGAGGGAAGGAGGGAGAAAGAGAAATATCCCAGGCTGCAAAGTGACTCAGTGATTAAGAGCACTTGCTGCTCTTCCAGAGGACCTGGGTTTGGATCCCAACACCCACATGACCACTCAAAACCATCTATAACTCCAGTTTGAGATGATCCAATGTCTTCTGGCCTCTGTAGGCATCAGGTACTCACTAGGCACAAATATATGTGCAGGCAAAATACTCATACAGATAAAATAAAATTAAATACTTTTTAAAGAAGAAAATACTCAAGATTGTGCATGGTAAAGACACTTATGAGACATGGCATTTGTAGAAACTCACTCTTTGAATATGTGTTGTTCACAGTGAATGTGCACAGAACACTGCCATCATGACTGTTGGATGTGACCGCTCTTCCACTCAAGACAACCTGAAATTTCTCTAGAGATAAAAAGAAAGGCAATCACTTTAGCCAGTGTTTGACTAAAAACAACCAAAGTATCAAGACGGTTAGAATACATTTCTTCATTCTATCCTTTTGACCAATAATTATGAAGATACAACTCCAACCAAGACAACTTTCTTTAGGTTGTCTAGGTGGGTATAGTGGAGACAACATTCACTGTCACAAAAAGCTGTCATTTGATCTTTATTAAAGTGCTTCCTAATAGTAACCAGGGTATTTTAATTGAAATATATTAATAATTACCTAGCTTATCTCAATTTGCAGAATTCTATTCTTACAGCTTTTCCAAAAAAGAATGTTCTGTTTCCACTCTCAGGCATAAAGTTCAGATAGTAAATAAAGAAAATGTGTCAACCTGTTTCATCTTCTGTTGCATACAAGCTTAAAATCCAACAGAGGTTCAATCATTTGGATTACTGACAGCTGTTGACAGTGACTACAGAAAGTTAATTTACTGTCTCCCTATCTACAATGTAAGAATAGGCACTAAATGTTAGAGAATGAAAGAATATGCCAGAAGAAAAGTTGACAGCACAAATCTCTTGACTGATAGGCTGAGAATTCTTGCTGCTTGACTATAAAAGAATATGTTAGCCATCCCAATGGTGATGGCCTCTTGCCACAAAGACAAAGTGAAGCAAAAGACATGTTAGAGACTCAATCTGATCAAATTACAGTTTAGGAATTAGCCAGGTCCAAGGCAGTGGTAGTTTGGGAACTCCCCCCTCCCACCACATACACACATAGGACCAAACATTCACATCATAGATCTCATGGGAAATTCCTACATTAGTATTCTAAATGTATTGGTTATTTTTGACTGGTTGGGCTGAAGTTCTGAGGGTTTTTTGTTTGTTTGTTTGTCTGTTTGTTTGTTTTTGGGGTTTTTGGTTTGGTTTGGTTTGGTTGTTATTTTTCAGTACATGTATTTATAAAAATATAGCTCAGATTTTTTTTGAAGTTTACAAATCAAGTGTAGTCCACTTGTGATGTCTAAATGGATTTTTATGCTCAGATCCTTTTCATTTTAAATCACACTAATACCATCTCAAACCTCTCCCTACTGACATGGTCCCACACACATACTGTCATCAACTACCAAAATAAAACCTCTTGGCCACTCTCCATTCACTGAGTCAAGGAGGCTTACTTGTAAGTTCTAATAATGTACATGTAAAATCTGAAATGTAATTCAGTGAGAACATGGACACTGATCTCAAATGGGTGAGGATCTAAAGGGCATCGACTAGTACCAAATACCAAATCTGTCTCTGCCTCACTTTCTCCATCTGCAAACTGGGGATTATAAAATTCCCAACGACTGTTGCTATGGTAAACTGTATGTTCACACAGGACTGTGCATGAAGGTGCACGAAGACTGAGCCTAACAAAGAAAAGCTGTTGTTTTAATGAAGTTTCCACTGATTTGTCTTTGTCTTCCCTGGAAAACTAATGATCAATACAGTCAGAAAAGATCCTGCTGCTTTGGAATGTCCTTGTGTACTCTTCCTGCTCAGCATCTCCATGGCCATTTATTAGGGAGCTAGAGTGTGCAGAGAGCAAGAGCCTGTCCAATAACCATGATACTCCGTAGCAAGTACAGGATATATTCTCCTTCTCATCCAGGCCTCAACATGTTTTTCTTTTCTAAGTAAAGTTGTGAAAAAAATGAACTCTGGGTCAATCTTGAAGAAGAAAATAGGCCAGTGAGGAGCAGACTGTCAGGACAAGGACATCAGGGAGCTGAGAACCTGAACCTGCCTTGATGAGCAGTTGACACCTGCTTCCTTCCTGCACTGTGGCCCTAAGTCACTTCCCTATGTGCCTGGAGCTCGGGGATATAATGACACAGCTCTGTGCCTTCCAACACCTGACAACCCAGTAAGACAAAAGGTTCTATATCTTATTTTATTTGCCATAGAAAAGGTCTCAAACTTGAACTAAATATACAGAATAGTCTAAAAGCCTTACATACAATATGCTCATTATTTAAAATAACATTCAAATCTTAAAAATTTGAATTTAAAATAGAAATATTTCAAGGAATTACTTAAAAATTCTTACACACACACAGAAAAAAAAGATGCCAAAAAAGTTAATTTTGCTATTCTCCTTCCAACATGAGTTTTGAATCACATATTTTAGCTAGGAGAAAAAAGAAAAAACAATTTCTTACGTGTTATTTTTAAATTCTCAATACTTACCCCCAACACAGACACTTGAAGGACTCAGTTCCAGGATTTCAGTACATGATTGGGCTAATATCTGAAAACAGATAAATAAATAAATAAAGCTATAAGATTAATTGTAACACATGAATGCTATGTTCAATAAAAGTCTTGAGGTCATCTACCTATTCCAAAAGATGTCAGAGAAAACAATACACCATTACACACAGAGCTATGAAAGTCTTTGGAAACGCATGTTATCTTGGCATAACCTAACATGATACATTATAAAAATCCATATTTGATCAGAGTAAACCTAGATCAACAGAGAAAATATGAACACTGCTTCAAAATGGGGTGTCCATGGGTATGACAAATAGCCAATTTAACTTCCCACTTAAAATTGCTCTTTGTTGTTTTCTGTTTTGAAGTTTAAAGATTGTGCATATACAACAGCTTCTTTACTGGACAATATATTCCTAGTCCATCTCCCAGGGTAATTCCCAAAGGTGCAAATCTCACTTATGTGCATCAAGTGTCGCTCTTGCAGAAAGCAGAGTCCTTGGGAAAGCCAAACATTGTTCTCAAAAATAGTCTGTGTTCAAGCAGAACAGGTCCACTTAACATGCTCTGAATTACAGAGGCCACCACACAAGGCACATGGCTACAAGTGAAAAACAAGGATAAAGAAAGTTGTGCCTCATGGTTACCACAATTCTGGCTCTATTTTTAGAACTTGCATGCACAGCGTTATCGAAGTCAGACAAAGTCCAGATGTCCCAAGAGCAGGAATTCCTCTTCTGATGAAAGTTAAAGACAGATGAGTACAGTGGTTTTCACATCCCCTGCTCATAACTAGACAGGACGGAAGTACTGAGGCAAAAACTACAAACATTTCCTGTCCTTCTCAGTTACAGAGGAAATACAAACACTCGGGATCTGAAATCACCTGTAATATCATGGACCGCTCCCTGCTGAATGTGCACCTGAACAGGGGGCATTATTTGAACTTTTTAAAGTGTTTTCCAAATAAACACAATTTTCCACATACCAATCAGAGTGAATCTTCAGTATCTAGGAAACAAATCCAGTAAGATCTTACATTTGGAAACAAAACAAAAAACTTGTGGCTAACAAAACTGGGACTGATGATAAAAGCTAATATAGCTACATGGAGGGGTGGGATTTCAAGCCAACAACATGTTTAAATATTTCCACACAATTTGGGCAACAAGACAATACAGAAAGCAGGGTAGAAAAGTTTGTGAGTTAAGACTAAACTGAAAACTTTCCAACTAATGAAAACGGGCATGATTGATGTAGTTTAGACTAATGGGAGAATGTTTTTAAACATGAAATTGGCATCACCATGGGACATAATTCAGTTGGATTTGCTTGGCATTATGTCCCTTCTCCCAAACCTGAACCTTCTATTGAGAGTGGAACTTCATGTATAAGAAGATGCTTTTTGAAAAACTTCAACAGATTACATAGCAGAGCCCACTTCATGCTGAACACACTGTTTTATATGTGCATTGCAACCACTGGCTGCTTACTTGGGAAAAAAATTAATCAAAGGTAGCATCAAAAAATGTTTAACCATTAAATCAACAATCACATTAGGGTACAAAAAAGTCAAGGCAGTTGTAGGAAAAAGCACCTAGTCCTTCTACAAATATAGAATTTTAGAAATACAGGGTAATATAATTTGAAACAAAGTTCACCAAAATCACTTCCAAATGAAAAATAGTAAGAAGAGAGGGTGAGTAGATGAGAATGACGAGAATTAGTATAGGTTTAGAAATAAAAATGACCTGTAGATTTGCTTTCCTCGTCTAGAATTTGCATATCCTTAGTTATACTAAGAAGGCAACAACTAGATAAATTAATTGAATTTTTAATTTAAATCATTAACTGATTTACATTGGAATGCAATGGTTTACATGTAATACTTTAAACAGCAAATGCCATTGAACACTATAGTTTGTGTCATCTTCTCTACAAGTAATGACACCAAGTTAGAAGCTCAGGACCTTAAAATGGAGACCTTCCAGGTTAGATGATCACCTACAAGTTGCCTCTGCATGAACAAGTGAAGAAGAATCAGAACAAGAAAAACACCAGCTCTTTTCCAAAGAGAGAAAGAGAAGAAGAGAGCCAGAAATTGCAAGACTATGGGGAGGAAATCTAAAGCGTGTAGACAAAAGCGCAGGAGACTCATGAAGGGTGCCAAGCAAAACACACTGCGAGCAGAGCGGTGCCTGCTGAGGATGGAGGATGGAAAGCAGAAGTTGTCTCCAAAGGGTAAGGCTTGTGGCCCTGGTGAAAAGAAACTTGGGTTACTACCTTCAGCACAGGCCCCCAACCTGTGCACCTGAAAACCTTGCCCAGGCTTAATACATGGGAAAAACGCTTAGTCCTACTGCAATTTGATAGGCCATGTTTTGGGGACACTCGTGGTAGACCCACCCTTTCCTAAACAGAAATGCAAGAGGAGTGGAATGGGGGATGGGAACAGGGGAGGGCTCAGAAAGATAAATACCATACATTCTCTCAGGGGCATACTTAGGGGTGTGTGTAAGTATGAGTGTCTGTGTATATGCTCGTGTGTGTGTGTGTGTGTGTGTGTGTGTGTGTGTGTGTGTGTGCGTGCGCGCGCATCAAGTGTCCTGCTGAGAACTGGATTTTCATTGTTCTTTATCTTAGTTTTTTTCCTTCTTTCTTTGTGAGCCACACAGCCTCTAAGACCCTTTTAATCTACATCTGCTGAGTAAACCATGAAGATGTGAAATTCCAGGAGGCAGAGATCATGAGGAGTCACTATTGGTACACACGTCACCAATTATAAGTCTTGTGTTTATAAGCTTGTGATGCAAAAACTCTATGTTCCTGCATATTATTCCAACTGCTGATCAAGTGCCCTGTTTAAATACCTTTGTTGAAACACCCTCCTATATAAGATTAGTTTAAGTGGCTGCTGTACAATGTATAGCAATAAAACATGGTTTTCTAGTAATATTTAAAAAAATTCAAAGTCCAAATACATCATCTTTTCTGAGCTGTGTGGTATAATAAAACTTCTAAAGGCTTTAAGAACCTAACACTTGGGAGGCAAGGCAGACAGAGCTCTGAGTTCAAGGCCAGCCTGCTCCATAACAGCTTTAACTACACAGAGAAATCCTGTCTCAAACAAACAAAATAAATAAATAAATAAATAAATAAATAAATAAATAAATAAATTGCTCCTGAACTAATCACAATGTCCCTTACAAATAGTAATTGCTGATTTTATGTTGCTTTTAACTAGTTTCTCAAAATTTCAATATATCATTAGCACACTTCAGAAGTCAGAATACTCTGAGGAGCTTGTGAAATTGTAAACACTGATTTTATGAAATTTCTCTATTTGACTAGGGCAAAGGGAAGAACTGGATAAGGTCGTGTAGTCTGCTCTAGGTTAGTTCTGGGTTAGCAGCAAGCCTAGATGAAATGTAGAGAGGTAGCTGTGGCAGCTGCCTGCTGGCCTCCTTGAGGGCACAGATGTTTGGCCTGAGATGAAAGTAGATGTCAACATTGTCCCCTCTCTGCAGCCCAGCTTGAATGTGGTATCAGAATGATGTTTCTCCCTGGGTACTATAGGCACAATACAAATTAATTTGGATTAAATCTCCTCTGCCTCATGCGGTGTCAGATAGCAGACTTTTAAGAAAGAACAGGTTCTTCACTAGCTAACAAGGGCAAACATGCAGAACTGGTACAAAACTAAACGACAATGGAAACCATGTCTAAGTCAAGCCCAAATGAATTTCAGGAATCCCTCTGTCTCTCTGTCTCCGATGAGTGCATTGTGTTGTCTTCATTTGACACTCAGGGCTTTGTAGTTGCTGGTTAGTATTCAAACACAATGACACTGCTGACAAGGAACCATCACTTGCAGAAAACAAAAAAATAGATTTTATGGTGTATTGAATGCATGTCTCATGTATTTGGAGTTTTGTATATTTTGATTGAGATCACACAACTTCCTGAATGGGTCTACATATTAAAGGTGTGTTGTGGTATCTAGCAGGACACAAACAGAGTAAAAGCCATCTCATGAACTGAAAACTACACATGATGTAGTTAATGGGGTTTTTCTGTAATTTAGGACAATATGGGGCTGTTTAGTGAAAATTACTTGGGATACACGCATGATAAAAGTCTAACCTGGAATAAATTACATAAACAATGAAGTCAAAATAGTATTGATAACCTATGGTGTCTTCAAAGCTTATGATATCAGAGCATTAAGATTTGAATATCAAATATCCAATTTGAAAAAAGAAAGTCACAAACTCTCAACTACCAGTTTAAGCCAAGACAGATTTAAAAGTCCATATATTTTTCTTTCTTCCAAATAGCCTATTCCATAAAAATGTAGTAGATAATTTTAAATGAATAGGATTACCATATGTTTAAGCTGCAACCTAATATAAAAAGTGTATGGAACGTTTTGTTATAAATATCACTTGCTTAAGTAAATGTGATTGAAAAGCAAATATAGGGCTGGGCATGTAGTCCAAGGACTTCCCCAATAGCAAACACAGGCATCCTAGCTAAAAGACACGTAAATGAATGCAGTTTCCTAGTTTGCTTTCTGTTGCTGTAATAAAAACTGACCAAAAGTAACTTCTTCAGGAAAAGGTTTATTTCACTATACACCTCACAATCCATCATGAAGGGAAGTCAGGGCAGGAACCTGGATGCCTGAAGATCACAGACCCTGGAGGGATGCTGTTTACTGGCTTCCTTTGCACAGCTAGCTCAGCTTGCTTTCATTTTACCTGGACCTGCACACCTGCCCAGGAGCGGCACCTCCCACGATGGGCGGGCACTCACACATCTATCATTAATCAAGAAAATGCCTTGCAGACTATCAGTTGGCCATTCTGACGGAAGCAGTTCTCAATAAAGGTCCCTCTTCCCAGATGACTCTAGTTTGTACCAAGCTGACATATAACATAATGATGAGCTACTTAAATTAATCAAATCACTTTAAGTCAGACACAATAAAAATTTGTCTGGATTCAAATTTTTCATCAGTAGCACTCATGGGGC